TACAATACTGAAAACAGCATGACATTTCTACAGGTAAATGAAAAAAGCTTTCTGGCTTTCCACTGCACAAAATAAGCCAAACAATTCTCTATATGAGTGATTTTCAGCTTGTGGTCCACAGACTGCTGCAGACTATGTCTAAGGGGTTCATGACAGATTACAATAATCAGCACCATACCTAGACTTTTGGCAGCCCTGGGCAAACTTTTAGTATCGGGTCCCCTTTTGCCAGAGATAATGATGATAATAATTTAAAAATTACCATTTTCAGGTCCCCTTTTTGTTTGGGCCCCAGGCAGGCGCCTGGTTCTCCCACACCTGTGTCTGGTCCGGACTATAATGAAAAAAGGTATAGGAATGCCCACACTTACAATTCAAGGGGGGTGGTACCTTCATTTGAAATTTCCAAAAGGGTCCACATCTCTGTTTAAAATTTTTTTGGGATTTGCAAGTGAAAATAGGTTGAAAACCACTGCTCTCTACCACAGCTCATTTTAAAACTTTATATAGAGCATGAGCATGGATGAGTAGGTTTCATCCTGCACTATTAAGTACTGGTAAACGGTGGGAGTTTTTTTTTTGCCTTTCCTCTCAATGGACACGTTTACATATGCACTAATGCGCTTTAGTTAATGCACATTATATCTAGTACCTCTGGGCTTGTTCAACGAGCTTTAGTTCAAGCACCCCCACCACCATTTTGAAGGGCAGGGACATTGATATGAGAGATGCGGGAGGCTGCTGGTGTGCAGTAGTTACCATGCTCCAGCTGACTTGGTTAACAGTGCATTGGAGCAGCCTCCGTGCTCATGAACAGGCACCCCCTATTGTCAGGTACCAGGAAACTGTGTGTTAGCCTGGCTTAATGTGCATTAAATAAAGCAAATGCTTTTTAAGTGACAGATAATATGCATTAGCCTATTTTAACATGCATTAAGTAACTAGTACAGTTTTAAATGTGATGCTTTAATGCGCATTAAAATAGGTTAATATGCATTAAAGTGGACATGTAGATGCATCCAATGAGAAGTTTCAGGCTCTGACAAATATGAATAAATGGTTAAGGTTAGCAGACCTCACACAAGGGTTACACATTCTTAAAAAGCCATCTTGTAGTTGTGTTCAACTGAGAGTTGTGTCACTGACGTTTACAGAACTCTTACCTTCTTTAATATTAAATGCAAAAAAATAAGGCTCAGTTAATCCAGCACTGTGGATGAGACTGGATAGTCTCAGAAAGACCTTTATTATGTCTCTTACAATGTACTACTCTTTTGTACATGCGTAGTACTGACTAACTTTATGCAGGTACCACCCTGATTAGTAAATGCCCTTAAATCACAGACTCGTTTTTTACAATTTATCTGCTAAAATAACCCACCCTCAATTTAAGGCCACATAAAAAAATCATTAATTTTACAGGAACAAGTCAAGCTATGACTTTATTTAGCTCTAGCCGACTCTTGATTCTTTGTGTGTAGATGATGTTAGTTCCCATATATAGTAACAACAATAAAATAATTTAGATTTACAAAATTCTACTCCCCCTGTAGCCTACAGAAAATAACTTTTCATTTAGAGATTTTCCTCCCATTATGTTTTCCCATTAAAACTTCCCCTGGAAGCCTTGAGTCTGATGGTAAATATTTAGGACAATTGTGCATGTCAGACTTAAAAATGCTCAAGAGGCAAGGATTTTTTAGTAGCATCTTTTATTGGACCAACTGTATTGGGAGAGATGTTGTACAAGCTTTCAGGCACTGACTGCTTTCTCTCGGTCTGAAAACAACAGATGTAGCTTGACATAAATAACAGACAGAACAAAGCATGTGTATTACCTTATATTGTAGTGTTGTAGCGATGTTGTAGCCCTGATAGTGAAGTTGTAGCCCAGAACATATGAGAAAGGCATGGATTTTTTGGGTAATATTTTTTATTAGAGCAACCATATATCATTCCTGTACAGTTAGTCGAATAAACCTACATTATTCCAAAAAATCCTTGCCTCTTGCATATTATTTGGTATGTAATTTTTGTAGTTGGCATCTATAGGTAGAAAAGAACTAATCCAAAGCTATGCGACTTGATTTTTGGTGATGCCGAGCATTTACAGTTCCTGTTAAACTCAATATAAGGTTTGCCTATTAAAATGTTCTGAAAATCTGACCTAAGGTCCTACAAGTCAGTGGCAGAGACCAGAACAGAACACAGAACTTTTGACTTCTAGTATCAGTCCCTTTTATGCAGATCACAGTACCACATGTTTAAAAAAATATCACTACCACAAAATAACTGAAGTACCTATAGTAATATTAAAAAAAACCACTTGCAGGCCTTCTACCTGGATTAGAGAGAACCCGCTTTCTTATTTAAATAATGTGAGGGAAAAACAATTAGGTGGCAACTTGTCAGCAGGGCTGTAACTACAGAACAACCAGTGTCACAATGTCTCACATTTTGCATAGCAGTTGAGCTGCTGAGCAAGTCACTGTCTGGTTAAAACTGAGCAAGCAGCTACAATTTTTGTCAATGCACAAAAACTGTCAGTGACAGTAGGGAGAAGAATGTGCTAGAAAGAAAGGATGTGTGCTAAGAAAGGTATGCAGGGATGGGTGTTTTTATTTATATATGGTTTCAGAAAAATACTCAATAGTGAGAAATTTATTATAAATAACCTGCAAATAATCAGTCGTAGTAGTAGTACTAGTAAAAATAATGAATATGCAAGTAACAAAGGGTATAAAGAATGTTTGGGAAAGAAAGTGTTGTTGGACTAATGCACTACGTCCCTGAATGTCTCAGCAAGACCTTGGACTATATGATCAATAGAATAGGAAGCAAGACTCAATTGCAAGGTAACTAGTAAATTTCTTAATATAAGAGTGTGTGCGCGCTATCTGTTGAATAAACCTACAGTAGAGGAGTGGAAATTCCTGTCTCTTGAGTATTCTCTCTCTCGACAACCCACTGTTCCCAAGATTGTGGGGTCATGCCTCCACCTTGGTTCCTGTTTTGTTATTCATGTACTGTAACCAAAAGGAGTTTTTTAAATACCTGACTGATTTTCAGAGATCCTCAGGTCCAGCTGATTTCACCCAATGCTGTGGGTGCTCAGAACTTTCTAAAATCAGGCCCTGGGTCAAGAGCCGTCTCTGATCCCTTGGGTGTTTACTGTAGAATTACATGCCACAACAAATGGAGAGGTGGGTAGCCATGTTAGTCTGACGTCAGACAGAACGTGAGAGTGAGAAGTCAGACTGAGAGTGGTTCAAAGAGGCATAAGCTTTCCTAGGTGACAACCTACTTCATCAGGTGCTACATATAGCCATTCATAGCATTTGATTAGAATAATACAATGTGATGAAAGAGTCCATTGCATAAAGAAGCTCATGCCCACGGGCGGATAGAGAATGTTGAAAAGGGGGTGCAGGGGATGTGGTGCACCATCACATAACACAACACACATTTTTCTCCAAGTAAAAATAAAATAGAAACTTTACTAATATGGCACCCCCCTGACTATGGCACCCTAGACAGTTGCCCATGTCACTCACCCCTAAGGCCAGCTCTGCTGGGTTGTGTCCATTTAGCTCCTTGGATGCATTCAAGGGCCTCTGGGTGCTGTCCAGTGCGCTCTGCTCTGTGTCTCCTCTGCCTTGGTGCAGTCCTGACTGAACCCATGACCTTCACTCCTGCCCCTGTTATGTCTTTTATGTGATTCCAAGCCATTGGTCATATGCCCTTAATGCCCCCTCCCCGACACTAAAGGGGGCTTATAGCATTGGCCTACGATCTGGAATGGCTCAATCATGGCAAATGAGAGTTTGCTCATAAAATAAGCAAATGGGAAGGGACCTCAGGAGGTTATCTAGTCCCACCCCCTGCTCAAAGTAGCACCACCCCCAACTAGACCTTTTTTTCCCCCCTTTGTAACAGTTTTGTATTCCAGGTCAAATCAGCCAAATCAGTTCCGAATCCTTTTCAACGTGACACTACAGCCAACAAGTACCCTCCACCCCAGATTTTGCAGCCAGAGGCTTCAGATACTCCCAAATCCATTGGCAGGCATTCTACGTGCAGGCCCAAGTCTGGAGGTTTGGGGTTTGGATGGTCACTTGCCTTTCGCCAAAGGCCACAGGAACAAGCTAGGGAGCAGTCCCCCAGGTCCTCCCTCCGGTGGGAAGCTGGCCAGCAGGGAGCTCATTACAAGACTCCTAGGGAGGGTGTCCTCTCTGCAGTGTCTTGGACAGGGGTGCACCTTGCAGTACACAGTGCCCAGGGCTGGATTAACCCTTTAGTGGGCCCTAGACCAACAAACTCATGGGCCCCCAGCTGAAGATGAATTAAAAAAAAAATGTTATTCTCCATAATTAGACTATGTAAAATAAACACAACTCGGCCCCTTCTTCACCTAGGGCCCTGGGCACGTGGCTAGGTTGATCCGGCCCTGCCAACGCCCTTTAAAATCCCCCGTGTTTCGGGTAACAGACCAGTGCAGCGACTACACTCGCTCTTAGCCCACAAGAAGCCGCGAAGCTGTTTCCCCCTGGATGCTAGGTCATCGCAGCCAGCGCTTGGTCTAGCCGGGCCCTAGCCCCCAGGGATGGACACCCCACAGCCCCTCTGGCTGCCTACCCCAGCACTTCACTCCCGCTCTCTCCC